GCCCGCACCTGGTGCCTCTGGAAGGGCTGCTGCTGACCCGTGAGCACGCGGCGGAGGGGCTCGCAAGGGCGGCGTTTGCAGGCAGCGGTGCAGCGTGTCTGGTGAGCTGCGCCCTCTTGCTTTTCCCCTGAAGCGAGCGATTGAGTCCGCGCGAATCCTGCTGCAGCCGACTCCCTGGTGCCGGCTAACCGAGCGGCTCCGCGGGGCCTGGGAATTCCTCCCGCGGATGAGTGAATTCCTGCGACCATTCCCCTTCTTTCCTGTCCCCACACGTCCTAGTCCATCTTCTGCAGCCGGGACCCATCATCTAAGTGTTGCTTTCCTCTCACCACCCCAACCTCGGGGCTCTCCTGGAGTGACTTGGGCAGGAAATGGTACCCTGCGTTCGAATCCAGCTGGGGACACTGAGGCAGCTGCCTCCGCTCTGTGGGCCTCGTTTGGTTCCTCATCTTCAAGCAAGTTAACCTCTGCTTCCCAGGGCTCTTGGGGAGGATTACATGAGAGGAGAACGTGAAGGCCCTAGCACAGTGCCTGGCACAGGGGTGGGGGGGGGGGCAGAGCTGGCTGGAGGAAGGAGGTAACAGCTTGCCTGGCATTCTGCAACCGGCCTGACCTTACCCTGGAAATGAATGGGATGGGGAACCTGCATCTGGCAGAACTTCTCTGGTTTGTATTTAACATCCAGGCGTTTTGCCTTCTGGCCAGGCCCTAACAGATGCCAGCTCCTCCCTCACCCTGGGAGACCCACATTTTCCTCGTGGGGCGGGGATGGAGAGGTGGTGAGCGGGTCCCAGACTCACAGTTTTGCGTAGTACCAGGACTTACTGCCCCTTTCCAAATACAACACACGGACCAGGGAAGGGGCGAGGGGAACGTGAGGGAGGAAAGAAAAAGGGTTTTTGTTTTAATTTTGGAAAGTTAACTCAGATACTTAGGCTACTCAAAGATAATGTGCTTTAAAAGGCAGGCCTCCCTCCCCTCCCCTCCCCCTCATTAAGTGGCAGAAGGATTTTGTAGCATAAAATAGGAACATCACGTTATAATTAGAAAGTGTTGCTAGGGGAGTGCTTTACTCAGAATTAACGGTGCTCTTCAAAAGGCCCCTTGGAAATGCCTGGCCCCATTATAGCCTTTCTGCCTGGTGGCCGAGGTAGGACTGACGTTTAACAGCTGCATCAGTCCTGTGCACCCAGAGAAATCGTGGAAATGGACGTCCGAAACGCTTGCCTTTGTTCATTTTGACAGACCCCATTCAGGCAGGTGGTGCAAAGATGTGACTGAACAGGAGCCTGG